TACCCTTGGTTGATATTTAGCTAGTGATATCACCACTAGGAAACTTAACCAAAATATGATAGAAAGTGTTTAAAAATTAAGTATATGAAACTAGGCATTTAAATCTACATATTCCTTTTCAACCTTCATGAAAGTGCTAAGTTATGTGTGTTTTCTCATTGTGTTCTTTCATTGTACAAAGGAATTTAGTTACTAACAGTTTAGAGGACTAGACTAAAAATCAGTTTGTAGCTGGGCATTAGTAGATTATGTTTGCATCCTATCTACTTGAGAAACTAAGGGGAAGATGAGGGTTTGAGGCCAAGCAAAAATAATCTTTGAGTCTCCATCTCCAAAATAATCAGCAAAAGGTAGGGTTAGAGCCATGGCTCAATACTATTGCTTCAGTCAAGCAAATATGAGGCCCTAAATTCAGTGGGGCCTAATAATGCCAAAAATAAACAATAACAAACATGAAAACTAAAATGTTACTTTGTTACAAATGTAGGACCTAGATTACTTTTATATAATACTTGACTGTCTTTTCTAGCTAGAGCTTCAATGTGATCCTTCGGATACCCATCTCCACTCAGTATGCTCTAGTCTGCTGAGCAGTGAACCTGCTAACCACCTTAGGAAGTCTTCCACAATCTGGAGATAGGAAAACATCAAGATGGAAAAGCTAATAATATCCAAAGGAATGTTGGCTTCCATTTTACCAATTCATCAGTTCCTGGCATTGATTCATCTGTATATAGAGCAGGTATTTCCGCTAGAGGCATTGCTCCCACCCAAAATAGGATTTGTTTATATAGCTAAAATTAAAAATAAGAAAATACTTCAGATCCCATGATAATTGCTTAGACGATTACTGGGTAACTGTCACAGGCCACTATAAATTACAATATATAACATTCACAAGCAGGATTTTCCTTTGTATATAACTGATCCAATGATTTTATTTATAACCAACATGGAGCAGTTCACTTCAGGCAATCAACTACTCAATAATTTTACTGAGATCTGGAGAAGTCTTTGGCTTACTCACAGTTCTAAAAAGAGTTAAATTTAAATGACTTCTTTGCTTCACATTGTTTTTGTCTGGAAGCTGTGAATAATATTATTATGCAAACAAACTAGCAGTTAGTTTGCTAATATGTGCACCAAAATTGGATATGAAGAAGAGATTATCTTTATGTAAATATTGACTTTAAAATAAATGGTTTTTTAGAAACTGTTTTCAATTATGACTCTAATTATAAAGTTTCTATATAGAAATGCTTTTGTAATAATATAAAGCATAGTTACAACAAATTTCTTTTTAATTTGCCACATTCTTATTATCCCTAGAACTTCAGTTTACTTATTTAAGTATACATTTATGTATTTTGTGTTGATCCTGGGGCTTCAGCTCAAGGCATGGGTTTGTGCCTCAGATATTTTTCTCAAAACTAGTGTTCTATCACTTGAGCCACAGCTCCTACAGCTTAATTTTTGGTAGTTAATTAGAGATAAGAGCATGACATTTTGCCCACACTGGCTTTGAACCATGATTTTCAAATCTCTGCTTCCTGAGTAGCTAGGATTACAGGCATAAGGCACCAGTGCCAAGTTTATCTCTATAATTTTTGAAGCTCTTTACAGAACGAAAGGGAGTTTGAAGTTGTTTCTTCATGTTAACAATGGGAACAAAACCATAGAATCTCTTGACTAGCTTAGAGTGACAAAATTCCTAAGTCATTGTCTGATACGCAATAAAACCTAATAGTATTAAATTATGTGCTTTTTATAGATCTCTTTCATGACAGTGAAGAACTAAGAAAACTATATAGCTTTAAGCACGAAGCCATAACATTACATTTAAAATTCTGGGCTCAAATATACAATTTATATCGATTTGTATTTTGTTTCCATCCATCCTCATCTACTTATGGTAGTTATTCAGATATCTACATTAAAAGAATCATCTGATTCTTCTGTTACTGCTGTTCTAAGAAGTGCCACTGATATTATGTTGAAAACGAACTTTACAACTTTGGGGGGTGGGGAGAGTAGTTGTGGAGGTGAGAAGGAAAGGATGGTAGGGGAAAACAAAGGAGGAAGCAACAATGCTCAATAGGAAATGTACTCATTACCTTGCTCATGTAACTGCAACCCATGTACAGCATTTTTACAATAAAAAAACTGGAAAAAAAGAAGTGCCACTGTTCACACTTAGTCATTTATTTAGGAATTGTTTCTTCCAGTGTGCTGTATTCTGGGTTAATTATGCCAATAACACAGATCAAGTTAAAAAGAACAGTGAGATATTTTGACATGAATTTATCACACAGTTTTAAGATGTTCTTCATTTTCATTTTAATATTTGTGTAGAACAGGCATTTTCATTTCAGCAGTGTAGTCGTTTGTTGAATTTCATATCTATTTAATGGACAGACATATAATTATTTTTATAGTTTTGTTAACAAATGTGGAGATGAGAAATGGTCTTGGGAATGTGTGACAGTTGACAATTTCTGCAGCTGGTGACAATGCCTAGTACTACATAGGTTTGCACTGGCTAGGAGCCAATCTGCCTATTGGAATTCAAGGAACCCATCTGGATAAAGCTCCCTTGACACCCACCTGAATTGAGATTACAGACTGGCACTGTATTTAGAGTCTATCCAATTATGCACCTTTTATCAAGGGCAGGCCATAACATTGACCAAAGAAAATTTATATAATCTATATTCACAGGTTTTTTTTCTCTCACCATTTTTATAGATGTAAAGGAAGAAGCAAGAATATAAATCAGAGAGAAGAAAAATACAGCTTATGTGCAATAATAAATCACAATTATGTGTTCATTTTATGTGTTGGCTGATAAAGATGTTTCTCTATGGAATTTTACTTAAATTAGGAATTTAAAGAATATTCTGATTTGAAATAGGATACTTACTTGAAAACTTAATGTTATATCATCTGGGTATTATTATACACGGGTGATCACCAACTTTTGGGAAACATTAACTTAAAAGTTAGAAGTTTTAAGCTGGGTGCTGGTGGCTCACACCTGTAATCCTAGCTACTCAGGAGGCTGGGATCTGAGGATTGTGGTTCAAAGCCAGACTCCAGGAAAGTCCATGAGACTCCTACCTCCAATAAACCACCAGAAAAGAGAAAGTGGCACTATAGCTCAAGTGGTAGAGTGCTAGTCCTGAGGGACAGTTCCCAGGCCCAGAATTCAAGCCTCACTACTGACAAAACAAACAAACAAAAAAAAGAGAAACTTTCTCAATACATAGGAATATTGTAAAAAAAGACTGAGGATCGCAGTTCAAAGCCAGCCCATAGGAAAGTATGTGAGACTCCTATCTCCAATAAATCACTCAGAAAACAAGAAGTGGAGCTGTGGCTCAAGTGGTAAAATACTCGCCTTGAGGTGAAGAGCTGAAGGACAGCACCCAGGCTCATAGTTCAAACTCCACCACCGACAAAAAAAAAAGTTAGAAGTTTTGATTATATATATGTATATATATCTTTTTGTTTGATAGCCACAATAATTGTGTGTGTGTGTTTGTGTGTGTGTGTGTGTGCGCGCGCGCACCAGTATTGGGGCTTGGACTTGGGGAGTAGGCTCTGTCTTTTATTTACATTTTTTGTTCAATGCTATCATTGTACTCCTACCTACAGTTCTATTTCTGACTTCCAACTAGTTATTGTAGAGAAGAGTCTCTTGAATTTATTTTTCTGATTTTGAGCTCCTAACATTATAGGCATGAGCTACTAACATCAAGCCAATTGTTTCCTGCTTTATTTATCTACCAGAAGGAAGGTAGTGGACGACATTTTAGAAGGTTTCTTGAGCTACAGCTTTGTAAGCAGCTTTACTAGATGTAGAGGTCCCTGCAGCCCACCTCTGAGCCTAGAAAATGTTTATTGGATTCTTAGAGTCATATCCTTGAAGCCATATAGTATGACACAACACCCAGACTTGGGGACAATTCCTTTACAGGCAACCAAGCCTGTAGAATGGAAACACTGATCACAGCAAGAGATCTGTTGCTCTCATCTCTCTCATCTCATTGCATCTGCCTGGTGACCTTTGTAACTGCCTGGAGCTGTCAAGACAGGCTAGCATCTTTGACAATAGCATATGAATACCAAATCTGATGGAAAACATTAAGGCAGATGTGTTACCCACACTACAGGGACATTTTAGTTCCCTTGTTACTTGCTTCTAGGTTTTCTACCACCTGGACCCTCCTTTAATTAACCACACTCAATATGAAACCTTGTTGTCTGCTATAATTGGGTAAATAAGGTATTGGAACTGTAATCCTTTCCTAAAGATTTTGCTAGTAAGTAACATGTCACTTTATTTTACATTGTATTGACCAAGTAAGTTTGATGAATCCTCAGTTGACATTTTTTAGGTACTAAAGTAGAAAAAATTAACCTTTGTTGTTGTTACTCTTAACTATAAAGTGTTTCTAAACTAGTGATGTAACCAGGTTGTCTGAGATAAGCAAATACAAATTAGTTCTACAGGATGAACTTTCATTTTAGCTCTAAAACCAGACAAATCTTGACAAGTAATTTGTCAAGAAAAACCATTAGTTCACAGTCAGAAATTTCCAATTCCCTCCACCCCCCCCCCCCCAAAAAAAATACAAAAACCAAAAAGAAGGAGATATGGAGAGCTAACATAACAGTGCTGGAGGAATATCAATACCAAACTTCAAACTCTATTCTAAAGCCATAATTATAAAAACAGTTTGGCACATAACTGGTACATTAACTGGCACATGAACAGGCCTGGAGACCAATGGAATAGAACTGAAGACCCAGACATGATCCCACAGACCTATGGCCACCTGATCTTTGTTAGGGGAGCCAATCACATCAGAAAGAAGAGAGACTGACTCTTCAACAAACGATGCTCCTAGAATTGGCTATGTACAACTGACTGCTCTGGAAAGCCATCTTTGCATTGTTCCTGGGTCCAGCTCACTGCAGCCTCCTCGGCAGCGCTCCTCCTCCGAGTCTCCGAACTCCAGCTTTCTTTTTTTCTCCTCGCTGCTCCGGATTACCGGCGTGCCCCACCATGTCAGACGCGGCTGTGGATACCAGCTCCGAGATCACCACCAAGGACTTGAAGGAGAAGAAGGAAGTTGTGGAGGAGGCAGAGAATGGAAGAGACGCCCCTGCCAACGGGAATGCTAATGAGGAAAATGGGGAGCAGGAGGTTGACAATGAGGTAGATGAAGAAGAAGAAGGTGGGGAGGAAGAGGAGGAGGAGGAAGAAGGTGATGGTGAGGAGGAGGATGGAGATGAAGATGAGGAGGCAGAGGGATCTACAGAAATGATGGGACAGGGAGTGAACTAAAGCAACAGTCATACTCAGTAAATACTATGTTAGAAATGAACTTTACTTAGACCTCAAAAAATTAACCCCTAAAAAAAAATCCTCCAAGAAACAACAACCATATTAATGGGCTAAAGACTTAAAGAGAACTGCCCTATGACCCAGCAATCCCACTTATGGACATCTATCCAATTGACCACAAACCACAAAAACTACACTACATCTACCAGCACGGCTATGTTCATTGCAGCATTGTTTACCATAGCCAAGATATGGAATCACGCCACATGCCCTTCCGTTAGTAAATGGATCAAGAAAACATGGTATATATACAGTAGAACTCTATATTTCCATCAAAAAGAATGAAATTTCCCCATTTTCAAGGAAAAGGAATGACTTGGAAAAAAATCATGGTAAGTAAAGTAAACAAGACCCAAAGAAGCATAGATTACATGGTCTCCCTCATTTGTAATAATTAAAATGTCTGGGATATTCTTAGCCGTGGATCACCATGGCTCAATAGCTTTGTGAATATGACCATATAAAATGATGCTTATTAAAATGAACGCCAAGAAATGCAAACAAGAGTGTTTTTCCATTTTTATTGAACTGTTGGCAGTTATTTTTTTTCTTGCTTATTTTTCCTTTGGTTTGTTCCCTACTGTCACTGTTTTTTAATTCTCTATATTTTGTCTTTTATATAAATTTATCTGATTTGGGGAAGGGAAGAGAAATCACAAAAATGTTGGGACAAAGTATGAACCAATTCAACAATGATACTTATTAGACACTATGTTGGAAGTGAACTTTACAACTTGAAGGGGGAAGGATAGGGAGGATAAGAGAGAGAAAATTGCAGAAGGGTAATATGGTTCAAAAGTAATGTACTCATTACCTGACTTATGTAACTGTGACCACTCTGTATATTAATTTATACTAAAATTTAAATTTAAGAAAAAGCTAGCATAAATATGGTCCATAAAACTTCAGGTATCTAAATAATCCCTACATCATCAAGAATATTAAATGACTAACATTAACTCTGCTTGGAAAAATAAGAAAATACTTATAGAATACACAAACACATTTTTTTTAATTTATTTTATTTTATTTGTGAACATACTGTACAGAGGGGTTACAATTACTTGGGCAGGATAATGCATACATTTCTTACCAAGCATTGCAGGCTCCTCCTTTGTTTACCCTTCACATCCCTTCCCAGCCTTCCCCCTACCCCCCCAGTCCCAATACTTCCCCCCCCCCCACTGACATTGTAAAGCTCTTTATGGACATGACAACTTGTACTTCTCATTGTTGCAACAGGTCCACCTGTATCCTTAAACGACTTGTTTTTCCCCATCTCCTCCACAAGTTATACTGACATCAAATATAGTGAAAGCAGGGGTTATACTGTGGGGGAGGGACATACAAAGCAACAAAGAAATAATCTTATAAATGCGTTAGAAACACATGCATGAAAGAAAAAACCAATAAAATACATATCTAAGGGTTCATTTTCCTAACATCACATTATCTGACCTTTTCAGCTTGACTCATACATATACTAGATATTGCAAATAAGGGAAACCATGGGGCCTATGTTTCTTTGGGCCTGGCTTACTTCGCTTAATATAATTTTTTCCAAGTCTTTCCATTTCCTAACAAATGGGGCAATGTCATTCTTTCTGATGGAGGCATAGAATTGCATTGTATATATATATACCACATTTTCTTGATCCATTCATCTAGTGAGGGGCATATGGGTTGGTTTCATATCTTAGCTATGGTAAATAATGCTGCAATAAACATAGTTGTGCTGGTAGCGTTAGTGTGGTCCTGTTTGTAAACATTTGGGTAAATGCCCAAAAGTGGGATTGCTGGGTCATAGGGGAGTTCTATGTGGAGTCTTTTGAGGAACCTCAATACTGCTTTCCAAAGTGGTTGAACAAGTTTACATTCCCACCAACAATGAAGTAAGGTTCCCTTCTGCCCACATCCCCTCCAGCATCTGTTGTTGTTAGAGTTCTTGATTTTTGCCATTCTAAATGGAGTGAGGTGGTATCTCAATGTTGTTTTGATTTGCATTTCTTTTATGGCTAGGGAGGTTGAGCATTTCTTCATGTGTCTATTGGCCATCCTTCTTTCTTCTTCAGAGAAGTTTCTCTTTAAGTCTTTCGCCCGCTTGTTTATTGGGCAGTTGTTTCTTTGAGGATTTGTTGTTGGGGGATTTAATTTTTTGAGTTCCAAGTATATTTTAGATATGAGACCCTTGTCTGTTGTATGGCTAGTAAAGATCTTCTCCCGATCCGTGGGCTTTCTATTGATCTTGCTAGCTATGTCCTTTGCCATGCAGAAGCTCTGCAACTTTATGCAATCCCATTTGTCCAACCTTTCTTTGATTTGTTGTGTTTCCGGGTCTCTATTCAGAAAATTTCGGCCTGAGCCAAGGAGACCTAGGGTTTCTCCTATTCCATCCTGTAATGTTTTCAGAGTGTCTGCTTTGAGTTCAAGGTCTTTGATCCATTTGGAGTTGATTCTGGTGCAGGGTGATATATAAGGATCTAGCTTCAGTTTCCTACATGTAGTTAACCAATTTTGCCAGCACCATTTACTGAAGAGGCTGTCTTTCTTCCATTCTATTGTTTTAGCTCCCTTATCGAAGATTAGATGGCTATAGGTCTGTAGGTTCATTTCTGGGTTTTCAATTCTATTCCATTGGTCCTGAGCTCTGTTCTTATGCCAATACCAAGCTGTTTTGATTACTATGGCTTTATAGTAGAGTTTGAAATTTGGTATTGATATTCCTCCAGCAGTGTTCTTTCTGTTGAGGAGCATTTTTGCTATTCGGGGTCTTTTATTGTTCCATATGAATTTTTGGATTGCCTCTTCTATTTCCTTGAAGAATGAGGGTGGAATTTTGATAGGTATTGCGTTGAATTTGTAGATAGCCTTGGGAAGTATTGCCATTTTCACGATGTTAATCTTTCCAATCCAGGAGCATGGGAAGTTTTGCCATTTTTTAAGTTCTGTGTTGATTTCCTTTTTCAAGATTTTGAAGTTTTCATCATAGAGGTCCTTCACTTCTTTGGTTAAGTTAATTCCTTGGTATTTTATTTTTTGTGGGGCTATTACAAATTGAGTTGCTTTCCTAATTTCAGCCACACTTTTCTCATTGTTGGCATACAGAAAGGCATAAGTTTGAGAACTTCACAGAAATGGATCTTTTCCTAGCAAATATTGACATGCCCAAACTAAACCAAGATGAGTTAAACCAGCTTAACAGGCCCACATCAAGCGTTGAAATAGAAACAGCAATAAGAGACCTTCCAGCTAAGAAAAGTCCAGGACCAGATGGTTTTACAGCGGAATTCTACAAGGCCTTCAAAGCAGAGCTCACACCAATACTGGTCCAACTCTTCAATGAAATTGAAAGAGAAAGTTCACTACCGAACACATTCTATGAAGCCATCATAACCCTCATCCCAAAACCAGGCAGGGACTCATCAAAGAAAGAGAACTATAGACCCATTTCTTTGATGAACATTGATGCAAAACTTCTCAACAAAATATTGGCCAACCGACTTCAACAATTCATCCAAAAAATTATACACCATGATCAAACAGGATTCATTTCAGGGATGCAAAGCTGGTTCAATATACGCAAATCAATTAATATTATTCATCACATCAACAGGAGCAAGAATAAGAACCACATGGTTATCTCAATAGATGCAGAAAAAGCATTCGACAAGATCCAACACCCCTTTATGATGAAGGTTTTGGAAAAACTAGCAATCCATGGAACATTCCTCAATACAATAAAGGCTGTATATGACAAACCTACAGCCAGCATTATACTTAATGGTGAAAAACTAAAGCCATTTCCTCTTAATTCAGGAACAAGACAAGGATGTCCACTCTCTCCGCTTCTCTTCAATCTAGTATTAGAATGCCTAGCTATAGCAATAAGACAAGATGCAGACATAAAGGGAATCCAAATAGGGAAAGAAGAAATAAAACTCTCCCTCTTTGCAGACCACATGATCTTGTATTTAAAGAATCCCATAGACTCCACTCCCAAATTACTCAAGCTGATTCAAAACTTTGGCAAAGTAGCAGGGTAAAAATTAACCCCACCAAAAAACAAACACATTTTTCATTTTAAGAAAAATAATTTGAGAAAACTATGATTGTAGAACTGGATTTGATGGCTGAATCCTTCTCTGATTCTTCCTGCTTGTAAATGGTTTGCATGCCTTGGCTTGTGGAGCCATTATTTCAAGTTGGCTACACATGATACTCTTTTAATTTTTTTCATCTTCCTATGATGCTCTTCTAAAATGAATCATTTTGCATTTTCAGCTGATCTTATTCCATTTCAGATTCATTTTAAATGTCTCGTCTGCAGTGACTTACACCAAAACTGTAAAAAAAAAAAGGGACTACCACAAAACTTACGATAGTTCTTCACCACACTGAATCCATTCATTTGCTTATGTACTCTGTAGTAAGATCTTTGGATCATGTAGCAGTTCTATTTTCTGGCCAAAACTATTGCCCAGGGTCTGCACATCAGCATCTTTTTGATACAGTCCAAAAATGCATCATGTAGACACTTTCAAGCAGTTTTCATATACATGCAAAGCTGAGACTAACTAATAAAAGTATCTGCCTTCTCACATAAATATCAATCCAAAAGTAAAAACACAGGTTCTAAGTAGAAGTTAATTAGGTAACTAACCTATAAAATGACACATGGAACAAAATTGTCACAAAAAGGTAAGTATCAAAAGTTTTCTTGGCAGTTTCATTTGAAAATCCTACTGTGCAGTATTTTTACCACTGCCTAACAGTGACCAAAAGATTATAGTTATAAGGAAATTTACAGATTTTAAAAATGTCTTAAACTCAAAAAATATATTTGACCTGGCCTGTGTTGAAATTGTGCTATAAGTCAAATCTCTAGTGCGTTTTGTACTTAAATTTATGTCAATATATCTAAACCAAGACATGTGCAGATA